GCTCCTGGTCGTCAATCGGCACTTCTCCAAGTGTGAGCCGAGCTCCAATGGTGATGAAGATCAAGCTAGGGCACTTGGGAACTCTGGTTCGTCCCTTTCCCTCTCTAGGAATCGCTTTCTTTCTCTAAAACTCAGAACCCCTTCTCCTTTGGCTCAAATCTGCCTAAAAAGGCCGACCATGGGCAAAACACTGTCGAGGGCACGACCGTGTTTTGATTTTGCCCGTCCGCGCCCTTGCCACATGTTAAAAACACGCCCACATCTTGGGGAAAACACGGTCGTGCCTATAGTTGGACACGACCGTGTTTTCTGTCACTCCCGCCCGTGTTTTGGGCCAGCACAGGAGCACCTTGGATCAAGCCTTGGCAGTAAAAACACGGTCCAGGAACACGGCCGTGTTTTGGTTTAGTCCAGCCCGTGCTTTGTCCTTCTCATCAGTTCAGCTCTCGGCATTAAAAACACTGGCGCGCTTTTTGGTGTACACGGTCGTGCTCTTCAGGCCTCCTGCCCGTGCTTTGGCCCCAGCTCGACCGAATGACTTCGAAATGCCCTGAAACTCGTGCTTAGCCTTTCCTTCGACGTCTGGGACCTTAAATATGATAAAGTAGCACAACCCGACGTAAAATAGGCCAAAAATACACGACTACGCCCCGCAAACGGATAAGAATTAGGGGTGCAAACATGTGCAATTAGATCGTTATCTTTGAGTGAATGTCTTCCTATGGTGATAAGTGAGAACCAGGCAACCTTTGTTGGAGGAGAGTGATAGGAGAAAATATCATGCTTGCCCATGAACTGGTTCAAAAGTATACTTGGAAAAACATTTCCCCTCGTAGTATGGTAAAAGTTGATTTAATGAAGGCCTTCGACTATGTTGATTGGCAGTTTTTGCTAAATGTGTTAGAAGCAACGGAGTTCCCTATGGAGTTCATTAGGTGGATAGCTATGTGTATCACTACCCCTAAGCTTAATGTGGGGTTTGATGGAGGTGTAGTAGTTTATTTCTTAAGGCAGGGAGATTGACTCACCAATACTTTCACACTAGAAAGTGGCCAAGTGTAACCACAAACTAATGCATAGTATAGCGGGTTTAGCTTTATTTGTCAGCTCGGGTCCCAGATGTGATGACTACTCCGTGAATTTCTCATTATCTAGTTGTTTAAGTATAGTGAAGTTGTAACTAAACTAAGCAAACACAAAGCACTAAGGTGTGATTCAAGTTCGAGAGAGGTCACCCAAATATGGTTCCCCATAGAGTGCAGTCAAGCCTGATTGTACTTCACCAAGTTCAGATATAATGATATTCATATTGTGGAAGATTCTTAATCAGTCTGAAGTCTCGACTAAAGGTCTTCAGACCCTCCCAGTTAGAATACCCGGCAGGCGACTAACCTCCACCAGAATAGACGAACTGAGGCCCTAACGTGCAAAACCTCCACTACTGGATTACATCCAATACAAAGCAGTGAATTGACTCCTCGACTAAAGTAGTCAATTCACCACCTTTAATTAAAGGTTCTCTATCAACCTATGCAGATATTCTCTTTCTAGGTCAAAGTAGAAACTACAACAATGTGATCAGGATTCATGCAATTCAGAAATCATGCCTCAATTGAATGGAATCACTAACAAAATATCATGTACTTGGGTGCATACAACCAAACCTAACATACAACTCTAGGGTTCTTCACACCCGAGTGAGAGAGATTTTTCTCCACAGAGAGAGAAGATAAATCAGCTTCAAATCATCGTATGGGGGATGAAATTCAGCTTCTAGTTGTCAATTAGCGCTTCTCCCGGCTTCAATCGAGCTCCAATGGTGTCAAAGCTCAATCTAGGTTACCTTGAAGGTTGGGTTCTTCACTGTCTCTCTCTAAAGCTCTATTTTCAGCTCCAAAATTCAGATCCCTTCTCAAAGACTCGAAATAGGGTTAAAACTCTGCTCTGCCTGATTACACAGCCAGACCACACGGTCGTGTGAAATCCCAGACTACTCGTGTGAATCCCAAAACGCGGCGTTGCATTTAGTTGGTCGAAGGTCCGATTACAAGGCTAGACCACACGTCCTTGTGAAATCATCCCTTGCCGGTGTAAAACTCCTAGAAAACCTGCATGGCCAAAAGGTGCCTTTGTATGGCCAGTGCGGGTTTGGCTGCGTAATGCCTGTTACACGGGCAACCTACACAGCTGTGTAGAATCATGCACAGGCTGTGTGAGTCTCCCAGCTCTTTGGCGAACGTCCTAACTTCGTCCAATCGACCTTGAACTTGTTCCCAAACCTTCATTCACGTACTAGGACCTGAAACATCACCAACAAGAACAACTTAGCATGAAATTGGCTTAAAACATGAGAAACGAGCTGACAAATAGCGTAAGAGTGGTGGTCAAAATCATGTGCAAATATCGAGTTATCAAATCCCCCACACTTAACCGTTTGCTTGTCCCCGAGCTAACCAAGTCAGACACCAGGTAAGCTCAAAACATTCTTATGATGAAAACTTGGGGACATATCGTATAGGTACAAAACACGTGAATCATACTGGCTTTTAGATATCAACACATGAAAAACAGCAACAACAACATAGGCAACCACCACAGATGACATTCGAGTGCAGCAAAATTGGATAAAGGAAGAATATCCCTTCTGTTTACCGACCAACACAGACTCGACTCAACCACTCATTCAAAACAGTCACCTCATGCATAAAATTCAAGACATCAGAATTAAGAGTGAGCAATCTAGGTCCTCACTGGGTATATAATATGAAAAATGAATGACTCACTCTCAACCAGTGGGATTAGGACTAAATTTGGTGCAAAATGTGTGCATACTCATATTCTCAATCCCTAATGTCTCTTCACCATGATGGCAGCCTCTAAATGCTAGAGTTCACATATCGAGTGTCACCACTAACTAGTCAGGAGGTCTTAAACACGGGTTCAGATGACTGGCTAGGGTCTTGGACATTGGAACATGCTTTTATAGGTGGTGGAAAACTCTATGACACAAGGTTCCACAGTTCTAAACCCAACAAATCGACATTCAACCAAACCAAGTACTTTCTTTCTCTGCTATTCTGCATTAACCAAGGTTTTAGAGCACAAAAGTGAAGGAGGTAACAATATCAGTATTTCCAAGCCAGACTGCTAAAAACACTATTTTGAAGGGCACTATTAAAATTTCTGGTGGCAGCTCTCTTTTCCCTATTTTCATTTTTCATTTTTTTAGAGAGCTTCAACGTGCCACCTTCATTATCTTTTTCACACACCTGCTTAATCTTTTAAGAATGGCCTCCAACACTCACATAATATTTAGCAGAGAATGCATGCAAAAACCACTCTATGGAACCTCTACGAGATGGAAAAGGGTGATTTTTTTTATCATTGAAGACACGAAGAAAGAAAGTTACACGGCTCAAAAGGGCTAACTAGGGGTATGACACGCCAGGACAGTCAATTTGGTCGTGGGTTAATCATATGCCTCCATCATCCTAATTAGTGGCAACATGAATGCTACACATCATGGAAGAGGGATCTATCGCTCAAGAAAGAAACGAGCAGGCTCAAATCTCACATGGCTACCTATATGCTCTATCTCTCATTATGATTTCATGAAATAGATGCATAAATGACTGCAGAAAATGAGTGATCAATCCAAGTCACGGTTGGTAAGCAAACAGATGAAAATTTGAACCCCTACACGACTCTACTGCACGTCTCAGTCATCATTATAGGTTGCCTTAGTCGCAAGCAGGCTATCACGCATCAATGCTAATAGCCAATCGATTCATCACAAAAAAACACAGTGCAAATATAATCACGCAAACATCAGTACTCGACTCCAAGCACACAAACACATTCCCGATATGTACAAAGCAACCCCCCCCCCCCCACACACACACTCACTTAAGCACGACATTGCCCTTAATGGAGCAGAGGGAAAAAGGAGGGGAAACAATATTATCGGGAAAAATGACGACAATAGGCATGGACTGGAGTAAGGACCAGTCATCAGAAACACGGGACTAGAAGAGGGACCAATTGCTGCAAGAGAAATCTCTGAAACAACCACTAGAGCACTGTTTGTTAGCTAGAGTTTTCAGCCTAGATGGCACACAAAGAAAAAGTAAAATAAAACCAAACACATAAACGACTCAGTTCAGGCTCTACAACACATGGAGCAAACAAAACACAAAAGAACACATAAAAGGAGCCGACGAGTACAACCTACTCATCACCTGTGATGTCAAAGTTGATGTCCCACATGTAGTCATCGTCACTCGGTGAAGGCGAAGATAGTGGGGAAGCATCCCAAGGAGTCTGCCAGGCTGGTGGATGGCCCAGAACCTGATCAAGTAAGTACTACTGCGCCTCCTTCATTCGGTGCGCCTGCCTACGCTCACGCTCGATATGAGCGAGGGTGATGCCCTGCTGGGTCTCCACGTGGTCTAGAGGCTTAAAGTATGCGGCCATATGGGCGGCATACTTACCTTGGTGGGTCGCATACTACTACTAAAACTGATGGTCAAGGATCTGTTGGTTCTGGAGACCCAACCGCTGGTGGGGGGCAGCGGCGTCCTTAGCCTGAGGCTCAGCATCCTTCTCCATCTCATCTGGGACAGGGATGGCTGGTATGGGCAGTCCTTCGACCCACTTGACTCCACGGGACACTAGAAGCAACCGCATCTTGGAGACTGTGTCCTTTGAGGATGTTGTTTGGTTGTTTTGTACTCGATCCTAAACATGCATTTGAACAATTATGTAGTTTATTCAGTAATGTTGTAGTTTGTTGATTGTTATACTACATATGTCTATTTAGTTTATTCAGGTTTGTTATCCGGTTTTATTGCGGTATTACTCTGAAACGGTATCCTGAATCTGCCGGTACAGTTTTTTAACAAAAAATAGTTTTTAATTACTAAAATGGTATTTTACCGGTACCAACGATTGAACCACTGATGACTTGATATATACACATGTTTTTGTCCACCATTCTTACACCGTTGAGTCTTATTTCTCGTGTTTTAGGCCGATTTCACGCTAGGTTGTTCTTGTTTGTGATATTTCAGGTCCTAGTACGTGAATGAAGGTTTGGGAATGAGTTCTGGGTCGATTGGACGAAGATTGGACGTTTGGCGAGAAGCTGGGAAAGCCACACGGGCACGCCTAAAATCCCACACGGCCGTGTGACTTGGCCGTGTGGCACCATTTTGCACGGGCAAGCCACATTGGCCGTGTAGGGGACCCCTTGTGGCCGTGTGGAAAGTCCAGGGAGCTCACACGGGCAGCCTGGAAATCCACACGGCTGTGTGTCCCTGGCCGTACAGCATGCCTGGAAGTCACTTATTCGAAACGCGATGTTTTGAGAGCCACACGGGCAGCTGGAATTTCCACTCGGCCGTGCGGCCTGGCTGTGTGGTCGGGGAATCTGGGTTTTAACCCAATTTCAAGCCAAAGAAGGAAAAATCGAGTTTTTGGAGCAAAAACAGAGTTTTAGAGTGAGAAAGTGCGAAGAACAAACCCTAGGAGCTATTTGGAGTGGATTTCTCACCATTGAAGCCCCAATTGCATCCTCAGGAGTGAAGATTGACATCCTAGAGCAGATTCTTCCCATTGTTATGAGTATGACTGCTTTGTATTCTGTTTCCTTCTCTCTCTCTCTATGGAGTAGAACTTTCTCTCACTTGGGTATGAAGAACCCTAGTCCCATGTGTTAGGGATCTTGATTGTAATGACTTGGTATTGTTATATTTTTTGATTTTAATCGATTGATGCATGATTCATTGAGTCAATTGAAGTCTGATCATCTTTTCTTGATTTCTGCTGCAACTTGAGATAGATAGAATCCGATTAGGTTGTTAGAGCTTCATCAATCGGTAGTGGTAGATTGGTTATCCGAGAGTTAATCAATTTACTGCTTTGTACTGGAACCCAATTCCAGTAGGGGAGTTATGTGCTTATTGCCTCAGCAGTCTATCCCGGTGAAGGTTAGTCGCCTGCCGGTTAGCCTGCCTGAGAGGGCTTGGTCAGCTTAAGAGATTCCAAACCATTATCGGATCTTCTGCAGTTAATCAACAGTTAATCAACCCATGGTAATTACAACTGAGACCTTCTGAGGAGCTAGGGGGACTCATTCTCGGGTGACTCTTCCTTTGCTTTAGAAAACCGAATCATTTCCTGCTTTCTTACTGCTTTTACTTAAATCAACAATCACTCAACTTAGTTTGCTAGATAACAGATATACACAGAGTAGGCAGTAGATCTAGACTCTGGGTTGACAATTAGAGCTTGCCTGTTACTGCATTTCCGGACTGCGATTACACTTGGTCACAGTTTGGTGTTGTGTTTTAGCGTGTCAACCACGGTCGTACCACAAAATACCCTATCACTGACGGGTTCGGTATGACTTCCGGTACGGTTTCCTTTACCCTGCTCCATGGGCGTCGGATATCCAATCTCCCATCTTACATCCACGCGTGACCACCAACAACTTTGAGATCAAGCCCTCTCTCGTGACGATGATTCAACAAAATGCTTACTTCCACATGCTATCTCATGAATCACCACGGGAGCATGTCGAAACGTTTCTTGAGCTAGCGGGAAGCTTGAAGATTAATGACGTCCCCGAGGAGGCATTGCAATTGAAGCTCTTACCCTATTCTTTGGTGGGGAAGGCACTTTGATGGATCAACAACCGTCCGGCTCTATCCTTCACCTCTTGGGACAATCTCCTCAACAAGTTCATGACCCGATATTTTCCTCCTTCCAAGATGGTCGAGTGGAGGAGGAAGATCACTCATTTGAGCAAGAGGAGGATGAGACATTGAGGGATGCATGTGAAAGGTTCTCTGGCTACTATCTTCAATGCACGCACCATGGCTTCGAGGAGCAATTCTCGATTGAAACTTTCTATGGAGGACTCATTCAAGATGACAAGATCTTCATTGACTCTCTTTGCCAAGGGATGTTGATGAACATGATCCCTCCTCAAGTGACCAAGTTTCTCAAAGATATGGCTCTTAAGGGATATGATTGGGGCTTGACAAGAAGTAGGAAGAGAAGAATTGATCAAGGAGTGTGAAGTGTGGGAGCGAGTGCTCCACTTGAAGCAAAGCTTGAAAAGTTGATCGAGGTGATCCTTGAGGATAAGAAGCAATGGAAGAGAGCGATGATGTCTTGTGAATGGTGTTCGAGCACTTATAACGAAATTTTGGATTGCCAAGTGATGAAGGAGCCGAGTACCCTCGAAGAGCAAGTGAGCTTCATTGCCAATGCTAGAGGGAACAATTCTTATAGCAACACCTACAACCCCGGGTGATGCAATCATTAAAACTTCGCTTGGTCTTCCCCAACCAATCCAAAACCTCCCTGTTTCCAAGGTCCAAAGGGAAACTATCAACCTCGGCCAACATTCATCCAACAAAGGCCTCAATTCCAAAAATCGAACTTCCAACAACCATACCAAGCACAAAGTGGTGAAGGTTTTCAACAACAACAACAAGTCGACAAGTTCTCTAAACTCGAAGACCTTGTGAACGCCTTTCTGAGTACAAGCTCTCAGAAGTTTGAGAAGATTGAGAAATTTATGGATGTGGCAACATCCAAGTTTACCTCGGTTGAGGCGGGACTCCGAAGCCATCAAGCGAGTCTCCAAAGCTTGGAAATTCAAATTAACAATCTTGTCGAGATCCTCACCTAGAGACCAAAGGGAGCCCTACCCTCTCAAACCATTGTCAACCCCAAGGATCAAGTCGGGTGCAATGCAATCTTCTTGAGGAGCGGGAAGATGACCCCGGAGGTTGTTGCTAAAGAAGTGAATGAGAAGGAAGACCTTCTACCCGAGGGTGAAGAAGAGGAAACCTCGGGGGAAAAGAGAGGAGTGGCGAGGAAGGCATTATCGACACCACCACCTGTGGCTACGTACACGTCGCCCCTACCTTTTCCCACGAGAGTGCACAAAGAAATATTGGAAGCGGAATGTGGAGGTTTCATGGAGATGCTTCGAAAGCTCCACCTCAACATTCCCTTCCTCGAAGCAATGGCCCACATGCCAAGGTATTCAAGATACTTCAAGGGGTATCTCTCCAAGAAGCCGAAGTTCGAAGACCTCGCCAATGTCAACCTAGGTGAGGAGTGCTCAGCCTTCATCCTCAACAGGTTGCCCAAGAAGCAACCCGATCCAGGTAGTTTCACTATACCTCTTTGCATCGGTTCTAATCACAGAGAAAATTTCTTGGTGGACTTAGGGGCGAGCATAAATGTGATGCCATATAATCTTTTTAAGAGGCTAGACATAGGTGAAATAAAGACTACTAGGCTTAGTGTAACATTGGCCGATCGCTCTGTCATTAGTCCTAGGAGCATAGTGGAGGACGTGCTAGTACGAATGGGAAAATTTTGTCATCCAACGGATTTTGTGATCACGGATATAAGTGAGGATTCTGAGATTCTACTCATACCAGGACGCCTTTTCCTAGCCACCGCCAAGGCATTAATTGATGTAAATGAGGGAACTTTGATTCTGAGGGATGGTGAGGAGAGAATTACTCTTGGAATTGATCATAAGCCTAGGAGTGATGAGGTGAAGGAAGTTGAACCGAGTGAAAGAATGCAAGTGGAGGGAAGCCTTGCAAGGCAAACCCCACTATTATTGTTTGTTCTTGTGATGATGTGAAGCAGGGAAGCAAGGAGGGCATCTTGCCCAAAGAAGGAAGGAAGGTAGCTTGGAGGGAAAGGATAAGTCATGCTAAGGCCCAGTGGAAGGAAAGGGGCAAAGCAAAAGTCATCGGCCAAGAAGGCAACCCCATGGAGAGTAAGTTGGGAGGCGACATGCCTCGCCCCTAGAACGTGGCGGATCCACTCTCGGCAGCATCACGTTCAAAGGCGTGATAGATCCGCAATGTCAAGCTAGTGACGTTAACTTAGCGCTTGTTGGGAGGCAACCAAACATAGGTTTGTTTTCTTTTCCTTATTTTCGTTTTTGTGTGTCGAGTGAAGAGTTCAAGTGGGCAAGTGGTATCCCCATGCCAAGTTTTTTGGTTTTGCGTTTTGAAGTTGTGTTGTGATCGATAGTAGGCACGGCGGAATAGGTCTAGTCAAAAAATATTTAGAAGTACCTAGTTTTCACTTGAGTTCACAGATGCATTGCTAAGTTTGCGGTTTTATAAAACCGTGAACAGGAAAACGCATCTGTGAACCAGGCACTTCCACATGTGTAACACTTGTCGACCATCCCCAGTTCACGGTCTCTAAGATCGTGAACTGGCAAACGCGTATGTGAATTGCGAGACTTGCCTATAAAGGGCCGTGAACGTTGGCTCTTCACTTCACGAACCAAAACTCGCCGAAAAAATCACGAAACTCTGATGGTTTTCGGCCATTTTCCCCATTTCCAGCAAGCAAAACCCAAAACCAAGCACACACCCATTCTCCCCTCCTCAAAGGCAGCATTCACCGAGATTTTGGGGAGATTAGGGGAACATTTTTCTGGAGAAGTCGCCGCCAGTGTGCCTCTGACGAGAGTCCAGCGAGCTTCTGATGAATCGGATTAGGTAGTGAAGTGAGGAGATTTTTCGTGAATTGATTGTTGAATGATAGACAATTGATTGCACATGTTTTTACCCCTATTCTTGAGCCGTTTGAGATGTTTATTCTCGTGTTTTAAGCCGATTTCACGCTAGGTTGTGTGTTTATGTCATATTTCAGGACTTGGCGCTGGCATCGAGGCGAAGAAACGTGTTTCGGGTCGAAAGGAGCACGTTTGAGTTGAAGTGTGCTGGAGGAGCAAAATACCCGGCCATGAGCAAAAATACCCGGCCGGGTATTAATCCGAGCAGACCGGGGAAAATGACTTTTGGGCGTTTGAGAAGCAGAAGGGGGCCCGGGCATTGAGCATAAATCCCCGGTCCGGTATTCTTGACCTTGACCGGGGATTAATCCCCTGTCCTCGACGGTGCGTTTCAACAATCCCCGGTCGCCACCTAAAATAATCGACCGGGTATTCTGACCGGGGATCGTGATTGACAGATTCTCAAGGGAAAAGAAGGGCAAAGTTGAAGGGTTCCGAGTTTTAGAGAGAAAAAGGGTATACCTAGAGAGAGAAAGTGACAAACCTGATTCTTCAAGCACCTTAGATCGATCTCCATCACCATTGGAGCCCGGCTTGAGCTTGGAGAAGTGCTGATTGATTGCCAGAAGATAAATCTCATCCTTTGCATTATGGTTTCCGCGTCTGAGCTAGATTTCCCGTCTCTCTCTATGGAATAACTTTCTCATTCACCTGGGTATGAAGAACCCTAAATTTGTATGTTAGGTATGATTGTATGAACCCAAGTACGAATTTAGTGATATGATTATATTCGATTGAAGTCTGATTTGTTGAATGGCATGAATCATGATCAAATTCCTGTTGTTTCTGCTTTAACCTAGAAAGAGAATATCTGCCTAGGTTGATAGAGCATCGTTGATTGAAGGTAGAGAATTGACGACTTTAGTCGAGGAGCCAATTCACTATTTTGTACCGAATTTACTTCGGTAGTAGAGGTTTGGTTCGTTAGGGCCTCAATCTGTTTACTCCCGTGGAGGTTAGTCGCCCATTGGGGACTCAGATTGAGAGGGTCTGGAGACCTTTAGTCGAGACTGCAGACTGTTTAAGAACCTCCCGCAGTATAACTATCATTGAACTTGAACTTGGTAAATTGCAATCTAGCTTAACTGCAGTCTAGGGGGGAACCATATCCGGGTGACCTCTCTCAACTTGAAAACAACCTTTAACTGCTTTGCTTGTTTGGATCTTCACTACACTTTCACTGCTAAATAATAAGAATTCACGGAGTAGTCATCATACTTAGGACCCGGGTTGACATTAAAACCCAAACCCGCTATACTAAGCTTTAGGAGGTGGTTACACTTGGCCATTTTCTAGAGTGACGGTAGAAGCGAGTCAAGTTTTTGGCGCCGTTGCCGGGGACGGCTAGGTTGTGGAAGAAACGTGGTTTCTGTTAATTTAACTTTTTTTTCGCATTGTTTGTTTGCTTTGTCCCACTTGTGCCTTCATGGGTTTGCTTGCTTGACTGTGTGTAGGTAGTGCATGACCCATAGCTAGTCGGAAGGTTTATTGCCATTGGATCCGGAGCTTGAACGCACCTTACGCCAACTAAGGAGACAACAACGAGCTAGACTGGCTACGGAGGAGCGCATCGACGACTACTTGAGCAGCGATTCCGAGGATGAGTACGAGATGGAAGATGAACACAACCCGCCCCAGGGGACACCACTCCAGGTTCCCCTGGTAAATGAGATCTTGGGGAACAACCCCATACCCCAGGCAAGTGGGTTTTAGCATCAACCACCCCCGTCGGATCCCACCTTGGAGTATTATTACACTCCACGGGTCGCTAATATCCGCCCTGTCATCCTCTATTCACCCATTCCAGCGAATAACTTCAAGATCAAGCCATGCTGGATTCAACTCATTACATCCTCTATCCAGTTCCATGACTTGAAGAATGAGGAGGCAAGGGTGCATCTTTCCCGGTTCCTGCAGCTGACGAACGGGTTCAAGATGAATGGTGTACCCGATTATGCGATCCGCCTTCACCTCTTCCCCCACTCTCTGGCGGGGCATGCTAAGAGGTGGTTAGAGACCCAGTCGCCATTGTCCATCACTTATCGGGACGATCTGGCCAACAAGTTCGTGCACAGGTACTATCCGGCATCGAAGACCACAGAGATCCAGCGGGAGATCACTCACTTCCGCCAAGAGCCAGATGAGTAACTTCGTGATGCATGGGAGCGGTACTCAGGATTTTTCTGGCAGTGTCCCCATCATGGCTTCAGTGATGCATTCACCGTGGGGAACTTCTACAGTGCTCTCTCTCCGGAAAGCCAGAGGGTGATTGAGTCTCTATGCCCAGGAGGAGACATTCTCACTAAGACTCCACCCGAGTTAAACTAGATGATCAGTACCTTCGCTTCCAGAGATCATTCCTGGGGGCAGAGCACCAGAGGCAGGAATTCCCGACATCGTGGTGTGCACGCCATGGAGGCTATGTCTGGGCTAGAGCGGGAGGTGGCCGAGTTGGTGCAGACATTGAAGCAGCCCAACAGTCTTATTCCAGGCAGAGGTTTGGTCGGACCTCCAGTAGCTCAATGTCAGTGGTGTGAGAACACGAACCATCTGGTGGAAGACTGTCAGGCTATGCGGGAGTCTTCTACTCCCCAGGAGCAGTTGGACTTCATCGCCAATGCTCGGCGCCTCGATCCTTACAGTGGTATCTATAATGAAGGTTGGCGCCAGCATCCCAAATTCTCCTGGAACACCAGCAACACCACTAAACCACCTAG